GTTTTGTAGACATATTGTATATTTTCTTAACTGATAACACAGCACATGCATTTTATACCATTTAAAAATCTTTCACAAACATACACTTTAAAACTTTACTATGAAAATCTTGAACATATAAGGGCTTAACAAAGGTTCTCCTTCTTTTATGCAAATCTCTTCTTTATTTCAAAGGAAATCCCACACTATATATCTTTGTTGTTGTTGTTTTCAAGATAGGGTCTCTAACCCTGACTGTTCTGGAACTCATTACATAGAGCAGGCTGGCTTTGAACTCACAGAGATCCATCTGCCTCTGCCTCCTAAATCCTGGGGTTAAAGGTGTGGACCACTAAGCCTGGCTTTCATACCTCAAATCTTTTTTTTTGGGGGGGGGGGGCGGTTTCGAGACAGGGTTTCTCTGTGGTTTTGGAGCCTGTCCCAGAACTAGCTCTTGTAGACCAGGCTGGCCTCGAACTCACAGAGATCCGCCTGCCTCTGCCTCCCAAGTGCTGGGATTAAAGGCATGCGCCACCACCGCCCGGCTACCTCAAATCTTTTTATCTTTGACTCTTGATATGTTTCTCTAAAAGTGACAAATTCTAAGAAAAATTTTTGTCTTAGGAAAGAAATGCTGAATTATATGGGGCTGGATAATGTTCCAGAATAATGTCTGGAACTTTTAAATGAATCAGGAGAGGAGGGGGGGAGAGAGAGGGAAGGAAGAGAGGGGAAGAGGAGAGAGAAAAAGGGGAGGGGAGAGGGGGGGAGAGAGAAGAAAAGGAGAGAGGGGAAAGATGAAGGGGAAGAGAGAGAGAGAGAGAGAGAGAGAGAGAGAGAGGAGTCCTTGCCATTCTTCTGTAAGCTTGAAATATTTCTTTAAAAGACGTTTTTAAACTGCAGATTATTGAAAATATGTATAGCTGCTGCAGGGCCACACCGTACCGCTCATTGCCACCACATCTCTAGGGGATATATGAATTTGTCCAATTAGGTCATTAACCAGACAAGCACAATTCCAAGTAAGTTCCACACAATTCGTCTCACACTACTTTGAATTTCATTGGCTCCACACAATTCCCCCCTTCCCTTAGATCTTTGCAAAATAAATAAATAAATAAATAAATAAAGTAAATTGGTAGTCTAGGGCTAGAGGCTTGAGGCTTGGTCAGATTCCAACTCTTTTCATTTTCCTTCCCTTTCTTTCTTTCTTTCTTTCTCTTTTCTCTCTCTCTCTCTCTCTCTTTCTTTCTTTTTGTTTGTTTGTTTGTTTGTTTGAGACAGGGTTTTTCTGTATAATAGAGAGTTCTCGGCTGTCCCGTATACCAGGCTGGCCTTGGACTCACAGAGATCCACCTGCCTCTGCCTCCCTAGTGCTGGGATTAAAGGCATGCACCACCACCTTCCTGACTTTTTTTTTTAAGGGGTAGGGCCAACATCTCATCTGTCTTGTGTGACAGCCTTCTTTGGGGTTTCATTGGACTATCCCATTTCCACTAACAGTCAGCCTGGTATGGGTAGCAAGCACTCAACTCTCAATCCCCACCCTGGGTAGAACAGGAACCATCCTGTAGGCCAGGGCCACGTCTCTTAAGATGGGCATTTTTATACATTTCTCTGCCAAAGGTACTCAAATGTATCTGCAAGTTGACATCTCAACTCTAAATGCTTTGACAGAGGCTGTGGTCCATGTCAACACCACATCACATCCCTGGGAAGTCCTTCAGGAATGTGGTGTAGACGACAGAAAATGATAGGGATGGGATGGGATGGGATGGTCTGAAAGGCTTGAACGGAAAGAGATAAGCAGCCGGAAGAAAAGAAGACCCAAGAGATGGCTCAGTGGTTAAGAGCACCGGCTGCTCTTTCAAAGGACCTGGGTTCCATTCCAAGCACTCACATGGCAGCTTGTAACACCTGTAACTCCACTTCCAGGGGATTCAGTATCCTCACACAGATATATATGCAGGCAGAACATGAGTGCACATCCCATATTTCTATATGGTATGGCAGCCAGGCTATCAAGCCAGAGTTCCCCACCCCTGGCCACGTGACCGTCCAGACAGGCTGTCGCTACCTAACAAAAGGTCAGGATGTTGTTTTGCTCCTTTCTTTGTAATTTGGAGGATGCCTGAGAGAGATGCTAATTCAAACCTATGGAATAGCCAGCACACAGAGCACACAGGTGGTTATGGATGTGACTAAAAGCCATTCACTTGGTTACCTAGGAAACAGAATGCGAATGTATTTCCCCTCAGTTAAGTTTTGGTATAAAGACTGTTTGGAGAATAAACAAGGAGGAATTCTTCAGCATGTGAACTCAGGAAATCATGAGGGACCATGGAGAATCTCCCTCCCGATAACGCCATGTGAGTTGTCTTTATTACCACGCCTCCAGCAGGTCCAGAGAGAGATAGTTTATGTTAGGGTCTGGTCCAGAGAGAAATAATTTCTGGTCCGGGCTAGCACCGGACCCTGACATAATGGTGCCCAGACGTGGAGCTGATCCGTGGACCACGACAGAAGACCAAGTTAGAATTGAGAACTGAGAATGCCATGGTGAGGGGCAATGTTCACTATAAATTGGCAGAGTTGCCAGAGACCTGACTTTTGGAGGATGACTTTCCAGAGTTTAAAGGGCAACATTTTAGTCTTTTTAGTTACTATCCTGAAGTCCTATAAAGAAAGGGTGCACCCAGTCTTAATCAGAAAGCACGTGCAGTCTAACAGAAATCCTTTGGGAAGTAAACAAAATGAGACAGAAAACAGAGCTAGCTGCCTGGACAAGGAAGGCATCGGAGTGGCAGCAAAGATAACCAGACCGAGGTTTAAGAGGAAGAAATTTAAAGTCTTAGATTCCTTGTTTTCCTTTTTAAATGCACTGAAATGGAAACTGTTACATGAACAATGCCACATGTAGTTATTTTAGAAAAGAAAATTTCTGTAAAAAAAACCTTTACAGAAAAGTGTATAATTATGATAAGGTGGGATGTTTCTGGAAATTTCCAGATAGTTCCTCATACTCAGGATGATTAAGACAGCCTGGTTATGAGAGAGGATGGAAAATTTTGAAGGACTAGCTGATTACGTAACTTTTAGGCTATTACTGTGATAGTTTAGTTATTAATAACAATTTGAGGAAATCTGTTTGCTTCTGGAGAACACATTTGGCTCCTCTAAGAAAGAAGTGCAACTGTTTGTGAATGCCCCGGTAGAGGTGAGGAGCCATGACACTTACACTTCAGAAAGCCAGGGCCTAATTTCCCTAGAAACAAGCTGTTGACCGCACCTGATCAAGATGCCTCCAGGAACCCTTAGCAAGATGAAGAGTGGGCCCTGGAGTCCCACCTGGGTCTAAGTCCCACATGACCCTAGCAGCTTCCCCCATGGAAAATCACTGCCCAGAAAGTTAACCTGCACTGTTAACACTCACACCTGCCTGAAATTAGAGCAAACTTATAACGCTGGGCGCTGCTGTGAAAGCTTCACACGTATTAAGTAGTTCAGCTAAAAAAACCAAAACAAAGAACACTTAGGAGGTAGGCATCACTATTAAACTTGTTGCATGTTAGGCAGTGAAGCTGAAGGCCAGAGGTGTGGCCTTAGAGCAACAAACCTGAGCTGTCAACTCAGGCAGGCTGAATCCAAAAGGCCAAACTGCCTTGCTCTTCACCTCCTACCCGGCAGTCACGAGCCATCAGTCACCACCAGCAGTATGGCTTATAGTTTCTTCTTCTGTGTACAGCAGTTTTCTTTGAAGTTTTTAAAACATTTTTGGAAGCAGGGCGGTGGTGGCGCACACCTTTAATCCCAGCACTCGGGAGGCAGAGGCAGGCGGATCTCTGTGAGTTCGAGGCCAGCCTGATCTAAGAAGAGCTAGTGCCAGGACAGGAACCAAAAGTACAGAGAAAACCTGTCTCAAAAAAAAAATTTTTTTTCGGAATTTCCAGAAGCCTCAGTGGAGACATATGTAGCATGAATTCTAATTGGTCTTAATGAAAACCTGGAGCCAGATTTCAGGGCAAAGGCTGAAAAGATCAGAGAAACAAAGGAGCAAGCTGCTAGAGAGACTTCTACTGAAACCTCAGGTAGAAGGGCTTAGCTCCTTCCTGTCTCCTCTCTCTGCTTAGCTGTCCTGTCTCCATTTCCCTAGTACTGAGATTAAAGAGTGAGATCCCAAATGCTGGGATCAAAGGTGTGAGCTCTGTCTCTCTTTTAGGCAGATTAAATCTCAGGTAGCCCAGTGTGGCCTTGAATTCCCAATCTTCCAGCTTCCTCCCCCCAAGTGCTGGGATTAAGGTGGCTCTCTTGGCCTCTATGGTTAACTAGTGGCTAACTCCGCCCTCTGATCTTCAGGCCAGCTTTATTTGTTCGAATACAAACGTACAGACATGCAATTAGACCACGAGTTCCTTTGGTCTTGTTTTTAAGGTTGGCTTTCACCATTATCAACAAGTTAGCTCAGGTTTTGTGGAAGTTCTCATTGACAGTTATGTAGACAAAAACATTTCAGGCTTTTTTTTTTAAGGGGAAGATGAATCATTGCTTAATAAATGCAGTTTAGTGGAGTTGATCTTTCTGAACACTGGCCTACGGAGAGAACGAATAAAAGGGTTCTTGGCATTGAGACGGCTGGGAACTGCTTGTTACGTGTTTATGCATGTTGCTCAACCCATCCGCCTTCACAGCTCTGTTCTTAAATGACACCATTCTCATTCTTTTCCTGCATCATTTAAGATGCTTTACTTTGCATATACTATTAAAATCTACTCAAATCACCGAAATGACCACATTCCTAACACTTGGTGAGGAATTGGGATGCATACAGAAAGGCCAGTACTGTATTCCACGAAAATAGCCTTTCTCAAAATCTTAAGGTGTAGCCTGGGAGTCTTTTCGAAAGAAACAAATTAAAGACTCAGTGCTGGATGATTCAAAACAAAACAAACACCTGCACCTAGGTGTGCATGAGGCAGTAAGCACGCCACACTGTGAGTTGGTGGAGGAAGGATGCCAGCAGGCAGGCAGTGGCCTTTATTTGAGGAAGAGGGTCCGTTCTTTGGGGTGAGACAGTTCTTATACCATGTTGGGGAATAATCTAGGCCTCCCCTGACGGTCATGGGAAACCACAGGTGACACCTTGTTCCTGAGAATTTGGTGCTGCTCAAACTGCACAGGACCTGGGTTCCCGAGGCCTGCGCCCGGTGCCCAGGGCCTGCTCTGTGACCCCGCAGTCCTGTCCCAGCCGACTCTGTAGCGGTGGCACCGGGGGGCTGGAGCCCCGCGACCCGCAGCCTCCCTGAGGCCTGGGCATCCGCTCGAGGTCTAGCCGCCCTCCGGCCTGCACGGGGTGGAACGGAGCGCTCGGGCCCAGCAGCCGGCGTCCATTTTCTGGGCGGCGCTGCGGCCGGACTCGCAGGTCCGGAAGCTCCGTGGACCCCGCGGGAAGCGCTCGGGTGGCGGAGCCCCGTAAGTGCCTCGGGGCCGCGCGTCTCCGGGAGGGAGCCGGGAGCCAGGGGGCAGCGCTCAGGCTGAGCTGCAGCTGCGGACGCCGAGCCGGCCGAGCAGCCAGCGACCGTCCGCAGGTGGAGCGTCCCGCCCCACCAGGCCCAGCTGCAGAGGGGGAGCAGGGGAAGGGGGGTGACTGTCGCGCACCTGGGGCTCGGGAACCGCTCAGGATTACCGCGCCTCCCCTCCCCTGTAAGCGCGAACCTGAGCAGCGTCCTGACCCTACCGGATCGCGATGAGATCCTGGTGCGACACCAAGCCCCTGGAATTGAACCGGACGTGCAAAGCCAGGGCCCTGCCCCCAGGGGGTTGCAGCCTCGGCCTCCTTCTCCTCCTGCAGCCATCGGTCTGTTGGGACAACTCAACAGCCAGTCGTTAGACACTTCTTTGCAGACTAGCTGATAAATAACCTGAGATTTTAGCCTATCTGCGGCTCCGCTCTATAACTCCTGTTCCGCGGTGGGTAAGTGTCTGTTTCCGTTCTGGAGTTTGGGCCTGATTGAAAATCCCTTCTAATGATCTATTCTAGATGTTATGCGTTTATGTACTGTATACCTATTTGAAAGGTTAAAGACTGTTCTAACTGGGAAGCTCAATCGCTCGCTCGGGTTCTCATGGCTGGGAAGAATGGAAGTTTTGTTGTGGTTCCAGAGAAACATAGTGACTTACTGTAGCTGAGATTAAAGAGTAGAGTTTTTGTTTCGTGACAGGGTCTCGCTAAGGAGCCTAGAATGGTCAAGATGCAAGCAGTTCCGGCTGATTTCGAACTCGCAGCGGTCTGCTGACTGCTAGGGTTACAGGCTTCTAGCATGCCATTCGACAAACCAGTGTTTTTCCAAGACCAAAAACCCATTAGCAGAATCCCTTTGGTGGGTCACAGCTGAAAAAATATTTTTAAAGATTAGACTATATAGTACGGTTTTTAAAAAAGAGTAAGCATTGCACATAGTAAAGATGAGCGTTGTCTAATGAAGCCTCTGGCTTATGTAACGTAATCTGGAAAAAAAATGGGTCACTGTCAAAACAGCCTTTAAGACCCCGGCTTAGTGTTTTGTGGCATAGGTTTTGCGGGAAAGGTAACCTCGGTTTGAGTCCCAGCGCTCACTCAACTGTGTGACCTCCAGCAACAGGTTCCTGGCAGTGCTAGCAGCTGTAAAATGAGGAAATGTGCCCTTCAGCTGAGGGGTATTGCAGAGATTCCCCATCAACTGGCTGCACTTGAGGCAGTCCTTGGCTTACGGGGGCGCAGCAGCGGGGAGGGGGGTGCTCCACATACACCAATGGCAATTGTGTCGCTGAACGATGGAATCGTAGAAACTAGCCATGAAACGCTGCGCATTTGTCTTCTCTTAGATCCTGATGTGGAGGAGATGGGAGACTCAGAACCAAGGATTGCCAAGTGATTTCTGCCGCGGCGCAGAAACTAACTCCGTCAAGGCTGATCCGTTCTAACTGAGGTAACTAAACTGTGTGTCTTTCCTTAGTCTGCACGAAAATAAGAAATGGCAGTTTTTGAAAGACTCCTGGAGGTGTCTGAATCATAATCTCGACCTGCCAGGTTTGTGTACTGCAAAATTTCCATGACTCTCAAGCAGTGTGTTATTAAGGACACAGGACACGTGGTATGCCAGTCCCCTGTGGGGAGGGAGAACTAGAAAACAGGACTTCAAAACAACTGGCTTCTCATGTTAGTTCTGCTGGTAGCTTTTATGTGAACTTTTGTGCATGTCTTGATAGATCTGAGCTTCCTCAAGTCGTAAGGACCCCAAAACATGACAAAAGCCCAGAGAGTTAAAATGCATTTTTATCGTTACCCCAGCGGGTTGAGGTCAAGGAAGGACTGTGTTTCCCAGGCACATAGCCAGCCTCTCCACTCACGGTAGGGTGAGCCCTCTGCTAGCCGTAGAGTGTGCAAGCGCCCTTTGCAGTTCTCACACAGATGTACTGGCAGCCCTGGCAGCTATGCTCTACCTTGGAGGCGGTTACAAAGTCCTAGGTGGTGACAGAAACAAGTACCATTTGTCAAACGGTTGTGTCTTTATGTGCCAGGCAGTGTGTTAATAATTTACTCCTCAACGGTACTAAGTCAAGGAAGAAGAGATTTAAAGGATTGAGATGTAAAATGATGGCGGGCCATGAAAGGCCGGCGTGTATTCTGTATGCACAATGCTTGGCTGGGGCCACAGAGTTCACGGTTGACCGCCTGTCCTCCTGATGCTTGCAGTATAATTTCTACCGAAATCCAAAGAGGCGGAGTTGGCGGGCCAGGCCACTCGGCCATAACTCATCTAAGTGCTGCTCCAGCAACCGCACAATGCCATCTGACACAGGAACGGACTGCAGAGACAAACATTTCAAAGTTCTTGCTTTTTAGTTCAAATTTTCATTCTTTTCCACTTTTAACACCTACTAAACTTATGCTTTGCATTTATACACAGTCATCAGGCCTCTGGATTCGTTTATTTTTTTATTGAACTTCCCTGAGATTCTTGAGTATTCAGAAACATGATTATGCTTTTATAACTATATTTGTCATGGCCAGTCTTTAGCAAGGAATCATTTGTCCAGCTGTCGGAGATTTTCTGTTAGTAATCAGCTTTAAGAGTGTTGGAGATTGACTTGTGTCATTTTCATTTTCGAAGTCCTGAAATCTAACTTGAGATTTTTCATTTTCCTATTTATGTGACTCACAGTGGAGGCCTTTCCTATTGTTACACCTTGCCCATAGGCGGTCTGACAAGAGACCTTTTTATTCAAAACAATGTCTTTTAGCTTCGTAGACCAGAGAACTGTGGGCATTTTAAAATAAAGCAATTGAAGACATACAAACACTGTTGTTTGATTAATGTGATAGAAAGCCAAAAGGCAGCCCCAGGAACTGCAGTAAGCACTAGAACTCAAATTGCACGACCTGACTGTCACTTGTTATGACAAAAGTCTCGTATAAAAACAAATGAGACTACGAATGTGCACGTGGTTCGTGCACTTCATGAAGTTCATAAATGTTATGCAGCAAATATTTATCTAGTAGCTGCCATAGTATGGCCCAGCTAGAAGGACTGGAGAATTCAGCAGAAAATCAACTGACACTTCCCTCTCAGACTGTTAATGGAGCTGGAAAAAAACAAGAAATACACATATACATACACATACACATCCCCCCTCCTCTGTGTGTGTGTGTGTGTGTCCGTGTCCAGGCAGTAAATGTAAAAAGAAATCATTCTGGTGATTCGTGGAGGCATTTGAAATATAAATATAGAAAGACTGAGAAAGCATGGAGCAAATTCTGTGAAAAGTATCAAGTCTAGTTGAGTTAGAACTGGTCTATACAGGCGCCCAGGGGGAAACAGAACTGGAGAATATTTGTTGCTGAACAATAATGGTCTTGAATGCCAACTAGGAAATTGGAATGTGTTAATCAATGGTGTCATTAAGGCTCTTTGAACAAGGAAATGTCATGGCTGTGCCGTAGGAGCCTGCTCCTGTATATAGCTTAGAGGAGGTTGGGAGGACACAAGGAAGAAGGCTGCTTCAGTCCTCCCAGAAAAGGGGCCGGCCTAAAGTGATGCTATCCAATCAGGGTTGCCAGTGGTAAGATGAGAAGCAAGGGCTGGCTCAGCTGTCTCGCTGGAGAAGGAACTGGCACAGCATCCCAGAGCCATGGTGCCATGGTGACCCTGAGAAGAAGGTGACGAGTTGCATCCTAGGGGACTCTATGTGTAAAGCCCTGAAGCTGCTATCTCTCACCCAGATGGGATTCAGGACCCCATAGGAAGGGAAAGGCCCATTCAGGAGCTATTGATATACGGGAAAATTATGAAAAGGTAAGAGACAAGGTTTCCACTAGGGTATGGGAAAATGTGGTTGAATATTGAGCCTTGTAAGAAAAGAAATGACCTGGGGAGACAGAAGCCTGCGAAGAAAGCAAAAAACCTCAGAGGAGCATGTTTCCAGAAGCCTCTGGAACGTGGCTTTCACTGGACCGTGGAGTAGGAGGGATGGGCCTAAGAGCATGAGACTGGGCAAGAGGTGCAGTGTGTGTCTGTGTGCATTTTTCTTTGCAAGGGAGTGTGATATGCACAGTGCCTATGTTTATAGCATGCACAAATCAAGAATGAATCCTGCATAAATCATTGATCCTAGCATGTTCCCAAGCATACGCCTCATTATTAAAATTCAGGATGCCAAATGTGGTTTTGATAGTGGGGTGAGCACTGTATTCTATTATCAGCAGACAAATCAGAGAATCTCTCTTAAAAGCATGAACTAAAGAAAAAAAAACCTTTGTCATTGCAAAGTTTCTAGAAGTAATTTAATTCGGTTGCTTTTTGCCATATATATTAAGTAATGTTTCCATTTTTCTGAGCATATGACTTAATACAATGGAATGAGGATCCTGGAGTCAGATAAACCCAGTCTCTCAAACTAGGTGGGCCATTTTCCAGACTTGTGACTTACGCAAAGTCCCGAGTTTTTCCACCCTCAGCTTCTGTTGGTCTATTTTGAAGCTCTGAGTGGTAGTTTGATCAGTAACTACACCATGGTAGGCAGTTGACAAGTGGTGACTTCCTTCGTCTCTAGCCTTGAACACAGATGGAGATCCGTGCTGAGGTGAATCTGCACAGGAAGCTGTGTCTTCCTGATTCATTCCAGTCTATTTATTTTTCCCGTTTTATGTTCTGTCCTGCGTGTGTTGAAGTGGCCAGGAGTGTAGCGTGAATCAGGCTTCACCAGAGGAGAGATAGACGGCTCTAGTAGTTAAACACACTCGCTATTCTTGCGGAGGACTTGAGTTTGATTCCCAACACCTAGGGGGCAGTTCATAAGGGTCTGTACCTCCAATTCCAAGGGATCCAGTACCCTCTCAGACCTCTGCACGCACTGGGCATGCATGCAGGGCACCTACATCCATGCAGATGAAACACTCATTCACATAAAATAGAAACAAATCTTTTAAAGAAAATTTGTTAAAAATAAATGAATGAATAATGAATAAATATAAATAAGACTTAACCGGGGTCTCTGACCGAAATGTAGATGTCTGGGCCGTGAGAGTCTGTCTGATTCAGTAGGTTTGGAGTGGAACCAGGGATCTGCGTTTTATACAAAAATTACCACGACTGCGGATGGCAATCTGTAGGACGCAGAAGAAAGGAGAAAGACGCCTGTGCTCCAAAACTGCGTACTTGTATTATCCATGTTGATGGATCATATTTGTAATCATATAAGAATAGGCTCCAAGTGCCTGTGGTCCAGCATTAACCCCCCTGGACCCGCCCCACGTTGCTCTCTGCCATGTAACCACAGTCGCCTTCCCGAGCTTCCGTGTTTGTGTGACCCCCCCCCCCCTGCCTCTGATCAGCTCTAAGAGGACTGGGATTGGCTCCTAAATGTAAATGAGGATTTCCTCTTTTAAAAACACACTGCACATTCTGCTTCAGCATCCGTCTTCTG